CATACGGGTTGTAACGATTTCGCGGTGCCATGTTGCCGGCAAGGGTACAAAGGTACTATGGCGTAAGGTTCCACATGAGATTACACCCAGCACCTCGCTCAAATCCATGCCCTCCCTTAACAATTCTTTTCCCTCCCGTGGATATTCGCATGTCACTGTCTGTTTCTTGAAACCCTCTCTAACCCAGAAAAAAAAACTGCCTCTATTTTCAGGACTCTGGTGGTTCGCTTACCCTTTTTTTCTTTTTTCACTACCGGTCCATTTCATACTTCTGCGTTGGTTTTCGATCGAAATAACCATACCAGCTCGATCCTTGAGCGTGCCTTCAACCCAAAAGTGAATACTGCAATTTTTTCAAAATTTTCGAGAACATCGATTTTTTTTGGGGGGGCTACCATTTTTGAAATAGTTCTCGAGGTGTTCCTCCATATTTTGCTCATGGTGAAGCTGCGCCATACTTAAAGACACGGGTCGCGATTAGATAGAAAAACTATTTTTTCGTGTAAGGTTGCAGGACCCCTAGTCACAGGGATGGCTGTACTGTCGCGGCTGAAATTTGCGCGGCAAAGGAGCTAATGCCTTCGCTTGACCGCTTCGACCGTTGGTGTTTTCGTCAGTCGCAGCATACGTGGTGTCTGCTCCCTCTCGCACGACGTGCTCTCTCGCTTTTTTATTCTCATCGCAGCCGGTCGATCTCACAGAAAAATTCACTGTGACCTGTGATGTTTTTTGTGCTTGCGCTTTTTCTCCCAGTAACGTTCCCATTCTAATTGCATAAAATAACACATCAAGTCGACGGGGACCTGTACCTTTAAGTTAGGTGCTTACTTATGGTGTACGCTTGAAATCTATGAATGCATGGTTTAAGTACATAGATACCAAACATATGGGCGCATACTCCCTTCCATTCTTCATGATTATTTGTTTTGTAGTTTGAGACGATGAGTTGTTGTTTATGTTGATTATATGTAAATGTTTTCAGAGCTAATCCGCCATCCACCCGCTCCATCGCTGAATCGTCTTCCACTGGAAGAGCTAAATTCGTGGTTGACAGTCTCCGTAGAATTGCCACAGATGGACGTCAATGTCTGCTGTCAGCAAGTTCGACAGAAGTGAGTCCAACCAATCCTTTCCGGACCTCGTTCTTCAGAAACCATCTGAATTCTAGAGCCACCACGGTCTTCTTCGATCCACTTGGTGCAGCCACCGTTTCCGCCTCAGCCACCGTAGTTCCACCATCGGTGAATTC